GCTAGAGACGCCAAGCTGGGCAGATTTCAACAGCTAAAACACAAGCAAGTGAAAGTAGCTCAAACTCTATGTTGCATTAAAAATAATGATGATAAAAGCCAATGATTCTCACTCTTTAGGCGTTACTGATGTTCTTTATAAGATTTCCATGAAACAAATTGAAAAAAGTAAAAATATTTCTGAGGTATTTTAATCCAGCTGAATCTTCTTGAGTCAAAAACAAGAGAAAACTTCTCCTTAATGAACTAGTCTATCTATCTAGATACAAAAATCCATGGAGAATAGCAAAGCTAAACCTACTGATGCTAAATAAAACAAGAAACCATTTTAAGAGGAAACAAGAAAAAACAAAACACTTGGCTCTGCCTCCCCCACCACACAACAACCAATCACAGCCCAGAACTGCTCTAGTTCACTAAAGTAACACTGAGAAGTTATTGAAGCGTAGTTGTAATAAACTAGGGTGTTAACACGTAATAATAACAGTCATTACTTATGTTAGACTCTGAATTAAAACTAGTTTCTGAATCGACTCGTGACCCAAAAAAAATGAGACTGAATCACTTGACGCTGAATGATTAACATCTCTGACATATAAAAATAACTATTATCAGATCACTGAAAGTACATGGTACAAGTTAAATCTAACACAACAATGTGTGTTTAGTGGCAACTGCACCCCAATGTAGTGTGTATCTGACAAACATCTGAATATAAAACGTGTGTTTGTGGGTGTGATATCTATGTGATGCATTGCAGGGACCATTTACCTGACATTTACTACTGTGTCTGTACCAAAGCCTGGTCCCCATGAGGTGAAATGCTGCTTTTGGTTAGGGATAGGCTGTAAAAATGAATAGAAGTCAATGGAAAATCCCCACAAAGATAGAGAAACAAACATGAGAGTCCATGTGTGTGAGACAATCTTTTAAAACTATTAAGTATTATCCATGAATAGTAGCTGCTTTGTTAAGACAGGTTAGGAGGAGAAACTCATCAAAGCACAGACTCTAGTCATTGCTAATGAAAGCAGTGTTAACAGAGAGACCACAAGAGAAGCAGTGATGTCTGCCTGACTGACGGCTGTCCTGCATTCAACACCTACACAGTCTGCAGCCAGGCGTAATGAACGCTGAGTGCTGAGCTTTGGAGAGGGCACACAAACCCCCAAACAGAGCAAATTATCTTCTGAAATATCTCTCCAACAGCCGGGACTGTGTTTCCTACCAGCATTATGAGGATAGTCGGCATTTTCTCTGAACAGCAGAAATTAAATCTGAAGTGTACCTCAGACAATCCATTCCTCTTTGTTTTCACTGCTAAGCACAATTGCAACATTGTTGACTGTCTAAACACTCACCAGTGTTGAATTGTTGTTGTTTTTTTTTTTCACAATAAAAAATGGCATTAAAACTCTCCATGAAATACAGCAAAATAGTGTCTAAAGCAACACTGAGTTCAATCTTAGCTGTAATGGCAACATCAAAAACTGAAATTTGCAGGAATTAATGTGAGATTAGAGTGATTTTGTTCCTCATTAGAGCCTGGAGACAATTAAAGTCTGGAGACAATAGTAGGTTTATGGGTCAGACTGAACCAGAGCAGAGAAGCCCCATTCAGAGGAAGGAGGCACTGAACTATAGGAGCTTCTAGTCGCTCATCACAGTACAGCACCATGGATGCCAGAGTGTGGTCACATCACAGCCCCACTGCTGACTCTGGATGTTTGGAGACTTCAGTGTTGATTCCAAAGGGGGTCACATATTGTCTTTTATCTTTTACCACATATCTTTTGTTTATCACATATCTTTTGTTTCTCTCAGGAAAAAAAGAATCCATATTTCATATAATCTGCCTCATACCTGGATTTCCCAATGCCCATGGGTGGATGTGTACAAACATTGTGTGTATCTTCCATGATGTGAAACAGTGTCAACTTACATTATAATTCACATTAAAGAGTGTGAGACTCTATTGATTTTTTTCCTCAGATAAAACGGTCAACACGCACTAAAAACGACCCAGGTGGAATCTTGTACTCAGAGCTTCAGTTTCCAAGCTTCTGCTTCACAGATCAGCCCTCCACCGCAACTCCCTCTCTCAACTCCTTCAGACTAGCCAGCAGCAATTAGCAAACACCTGGTGGAGCTGCTCATCTACTGAGCTCATTATAGAAGCTACTTCTCAGTGCAACACTGGTAAAAACGTTGTTAAATAGGAGCCATGTTGTGATGACTTTCTGAAGTCGGAGTTCCAGAAAGAGCAGGAGTTTTAAGGAGACAGAGACCCAATTCCAAGACTTTAAATCGCAAAGTCAACTTTTCTTTAAGTCATATTTGACACAGCTTTAAAGAGGAGCAGCAGAAGCAAATGAGGTGGATTAGCAGAGATGCAAAAAGACAAATTGATGGTGTCATCCAGGACATGTTGTCATTGAATATCCTCTCTGCTGCCTGGATATTGAACTGTTAGCTTGTCATTACAGGCATCAGACTGTCAGTCAGCAACAGCATCTTCAGACAGAAGCTTCTTCAACAAGGGCGGAAACTTGTGCTAAGGGTTTCCAGGCTGGGGCCGTTGCTACCTCAGGATTGGCAAACAGCTGATCAACACCAGGGCCCAATATCTGTACTTTCAAAATAATTCACTGAAACTGAAAACATGTTCTAGAAGACCTTGCCATCTTAATAAATATTGGAGTATATTGATATTGTCATTGTTGCCACCACCTGTTTTGGAGGGGAACTGCTTGTTCCAAAGGTCTGCTGGTGAGCTCCATCCCCATGGCAACATCCAGTCACTGGAGGGATGGCAGCGCTGGTTGCCGGGGTCAAATTATGACAATATTTCATTTACTTTTAGGATAAACAGAGTATGTTTGAACTATGTTGAAATAACTGATAATGTTTCACTATACTTACAATGTGTTTTCAATTACTCTATTGAAGCAAGTGAACTTGGATAAGATTCTAGTTTATTAAGCTTTACTTGTAAGAAAAAATAGAATCCAGCAAATTACTAATTAGGCATTAATTTTATCTTGAAGCAGGAAGAAGCTAATGTAATATGGGTCATGTAGAATGAAAAGAATCCAAACTGTCCACCTCTCTGCTGCTTCCTTTTGCTAGAGCGAGAGCTAAGCTTCCACACGCCTCCTCTTCACTAAATAAAGAATCACAGATGTCATTTTATACAAATAATAGTATTGGAAACACTTCTTGACAATCCAACAAGTGTAAATAGCTAAACAGATTATTTTGATGTGAGCATGATTGCAGAATAATAACCCATCTTGGCGGAAGACACACTACATTGACTCTCCATTTCTTTGTTTAGTGGCAGAAGACAAACAATAATGAGATAAATGAAAGTTGTGCTCAGAATGTATTGTGGCTCTTTCTCTGTGAAGTTAAGCCATTACTTCAAAGCATGAGCACCTCACCAGAGACGAGACACAAAACTCATTTCAGATAGCATCAGGATGTGGCGCCCAGAACTGCTCCATAGACACTGAATGAGATGCGGCTCTCATAAAGTGTTTGTTTAAGTTGCTTCACCCAAATGAGCTTTTAATTATAGTAGTGCTTTCTGAAGTGAAGCAGAAAATGTGGCCCCATCTGCATAAAATCACCCTTGTTACTGCCAGTACCACAGTCAGCGTTTTCATCTCCCGCCGTTCCTTCTCTATTAAAGTCTACATCCCTGTAAGATCAATGATTAAAGGAGTAATTAACTTCTTCCACTGGTGGAAAGTTGTAATAAATATTCCATAAGATTAGATGTGGGTGGTAATGAGTCAATTTTTTTCAGATAAATGATCCAAAGTAGCTGCCCAAAGTATATTTAAAGGAATAGTTTTAATCCCCAAACCATTTCAATTTTTTAATAAGGAAGATTAAAAATGGACCAGCTTATGGTTACTTTTGGGTACATGTTTTCCACAGCTGTGATTTAGTGTGTCGTGTGTTTTGTTTATCGCTGTGTGCATTCATGCAGTGCTGAACAATAAATCGATAACAAAATATATTACGATGGACACATAATCAATACCAATAGGAAATACATCTGATAGAATATTCAATAATTTCACTGAACTTTGGTTTAGAACTGCTCAGCATTCTGGGAGATGTAGGCAGAGGAAAAGCTTCGGCCACTCAACCGGTTAAGCAAGGTGGTAACACTTTATTTGAAGGGGGGTGAATAAGACTGTCATGACACTTTCATAAACATGACATAACACCTGTCATGAACATGAATAAGCCTTCATGAATATTTATCACTGTTGTCACAAAGCGTCATTCGGTAAATTATGACACTTTTAATACAAAGTTGACATTATTCAAAATGTCTTTGTTATGACAACTTGACATTAACCAAGAAATCATTACTGTTTAAACTTTATCGTTAATAACATAAAGTTACCTAATTTTTAAAGTGCAATCAGTAATACTTTTATAACAAATTTATGTCAGTAATGATTTCTTGGTTAATGTCAAGTTGTCATAACAAAGACATTTTGAATAATGTCAACTTTGTATTAAAAGTGTCATAATTTACCGAATGACGCTTTATGACAACAGTCATAAATATTCATGAAGACTTATTCATATTCATGACAGGTGTTATGTCATGTTTATGACGGTGTCATGTCAGTCTTATTCACCCCCTTCAAATAAAGTGTTACCAGCAAGGTTGATGCCAAATGCTGACCCTCCTACTGGTTGGTTGTTTTTGACTGCGAGCTATTGGACTGCATGAAGAAGGCAGAGGAGATCCATTTTTTCACAGATTATCTGTCTTATATCCTACTGTCAGGACATGGTGACAATTGTAACAAATAAGTTTTGTTTTTTTTTTTTTTTTTTACCAAGGGCAATTTTACCTGTCAAAACAAATGTTTGACAGTTTGAATTGCTGTCAAACATTACGTAATTGTTTTTAAATTACGTAAGCCTCTTTTCAACTCTTGTTTTTCTGCCTGGTTTTTTCGTGTTTTGCAGGTGTCCTCCTGGTCACATGATCCATGTGAACGGCACCAAAAAGTCCTGTGTGTACACGCTATGCGCGACGCGGCCTTGTCACCGGGGAACCTGCGTGGCCCAGTCACCCTCTAAATTCACCTGTCACTGTCCAGAGGGCTACAGGGGGCGCCACTGTGAGACAACATTGGCTGTTTATAGGGAGGACGTGGGCCTGAGCTTCAGCTCGCTCTTTGCCATCTGTATCTGCTTCATGGCGTTGCTCGGTAAGTGTTGCTTCAATTGCATCTCATAGATTGAAGAACACCAGCTTATATTTATAACCCTGGATCTGACAGTGTTGTGGAGCAGATTGTAGCGAGGGCATTCTGGGTAAATACTACCAAAACAAATACTTGTGTTGTGGGAGAAATGGTCCTTTGCCAAACAAAAATGAAGAATCCTGCAACACCCAAAATCTCATACCACTCCATTTGTCTTCACATTTTGGGAAGAAGGAAGTTCCCTTCTTCAGATGTTTTTATGTTGTTTCCGTCAGTGGTTCTTGGTGCAGCGCCACCGCAGGTGAGGGGGCAGCGTGACAGGTTTAGTTTGGTTTCGTTAAGAGTCGTTCTGATGGGTTCTCTATCAGACCATATTTTAAAATAACTTTCCACTCTGCCTTTGTAACCTCAACATAAAGATTGTGGAGGAGAATCTTGAAGAAAAACATTCTATATTTATAAAAGTTGTATCATGTTTAATCTTTTGCTCTCTGATCTTTTCAGTACTGTTTGGCACCGAAAAGGTTAGAACACATTTTCCAACATTTCTAGATATATGCATACATGTCATCAAAGTTGCTAAATTAGTCCTCTTCATTTGAGAATTTGCTGTTCTTCGGTCATAAAATTGGTGAAATTTAGACAGTTTTACATCAAGAGGAACCGCTTCACATATCGCCGCTCTCTAATGGAAATTTCTGCAAAGGCTGAGGTACAAATGTTATGTTCATCGGATGTTTTTTTTCCCCCTGCCATACACATAAGGATAAAAAGCTGGTATGTTTCCAAATTCTCCTTAGTGTCTTGTAAACTAAAGTTGTTTACTTTGCTCTTACAGCTGTGGAGGTGTTAGTGACTGAATTTAAGGATGTTTTCCTGGTAAAAAGGTTCAAATTGTAGCCTAGGGCTTCACATTCAGCCGGAGAACCCAGCCTTGCACCTTTTGCATACAGAAAGTGTGAACATCTGAAAAACAAACAGAAAACAAGCTATCATTGAAAAAAAAGTGATTCAAAAATTTTTTTTGAGAAATATCTTGCTTTATGTTGACATGTGTTTACAGCTTTGATGCTACAGCTTATGTTGTTTTCAGCGAGTGTTGTATGGAAAAGGGCTAACTAAATGATTGACGTGTGCGTGCGTGTGTGTGCGCGTGTGTGTGTGTGTGTGTGTGTGTGTGTGTGTATTGTTTTTCTCCTGAAAGTATTCAACCTCCACGAAAAGATTAGCATCTCTTTGTAATAACCAAATGAAATATTACATGTCGCATCACAAAATTCAGTGTTTCACAACTTCTGCAGTCTGGGAATAATTCAGCATTCCTGAGGAATCTCAGTTCAGGCCTCCTGGCCAAAGGTCTCCGGTTCATTAATATTCTTAAACCTCTGGCCATTCTTAGTTTGAAGCTGGAGTAGCCACCGTTTCTCTTACAATGAAATGTCACTGTCAAGACTTTGAGCTATTTCAGGTGTTCTGTCTGAAACATACTCATAAACACTTGGTTGGATTGGTTGCATTAGGTGTGCCTGAAATCACACTTGATTTGTAAATGTTTATTATTTGCAGTAGAGTTGAATTTGGCCTGTTTAAACAGTCATTTATCTGTTTCAAGCATCGGAAAACTTTAGAATTTAAAATATTTTCAGATACAACTTTAGATGAATAATCATCAGCAGGAATATCAGTGTGTCCTTCATGGCAGGAAACCTCAGCTGTCTGATGAATGGCTGATATTTAAATGGCTGAAATTTACAAACAGATCCACAGATTAAGAAGCTGGTCAGAAATTTACAGCCAGATTGAGATTTTTTTTTCTGCTTGGTGTAATCCACAGTTGAGACTAAAATTATTCATAACCATGGAAGATTTTGGTTTAATCTCCTCATTTTTTATTTTTATCAACATGTTTCTTTTTATTGGAAGTAACACTTTCTGGAGTCGCAACTTGAATCCAATACAGAGGAAAGGAGGTGATGGCAAGGAGGCCTTTTAACCTCAAAATATTAATATTTGTTAATCAATTTGACAATAGAAACATGCAACAAGGTGGTCACCAACTTTAAGAAGCATTTAAATATGCTTTAATGCATTTTAAGAAATAATTTCAAGCATGTTTTTTTTTTAAGTCTGTTCCCTGTTTACATTGTGCATTATGTTTATGGCCGACAGCCGATATTTACCGATGGTGTAAATCACTGGTCCCCAAACTACGGCCCGCGGGCCACATCTGGCCAAATGTGGCCAGATGTGGCCCCCTGTGCTCAGGGGGCCACATTTGGTCTGGCCCCCTGAGCAGTACCAGAGACCATTTAGATTTTTTTTAATATACCGTATTTTCCGGACTATAAGCCGCTTATATGTGGATTTTTCTTCAACCACCAGGGGGCTCTTTAGCAGGAAGTGGATCATTGGAAGTCAAAATTGGAAATAAACGAAGAAAGCGCCCATTAAAACGGAATTAGGTTTTAATACGGAATTGAAATTTGAGAATGTTGCTGATCAGTTAAATAGCATTGAGGGAGAAAAGATTTTTCTTTTGTTTTTTAAATAATACTGGGATCATTATGAGAATTTGAGGTATAGTATATTAGGATCCAGTAAATGGCAGTAGTGCAACAATAATGGATGCAAGCTGCTGTTGAAATCTAAAGAAGAAGAAGAAGAAGAAGAAAGCGCCTACTTTCATTTAGCACATGCTAGTAGCACATGCTAGTAGCAGACACGAAGGATCAGCACTTTTACTGTTACAGTTACCGTTTGTAATCAGTTCTGTTAAATCTAAACTTGGCAACTTTTTCTTTTTCAGCCGTAATAAATGTGATATTCAGTTGACCTGTTATTACTCAAATGTTGGCTGTCCACCCCCTCTGCTGCTGCATAGTTGTGGAAAAACTGGAGCGGCAGAGATATCTGCATATGTGTATGTTTACTGTTTTTTGTTTTTTTTTGTTTTGTTTTTTTAACTTCGGGGTTGTGCCTTATAGTCCAGTGCGGCTCATAGTTTGCAAAATACGGACTATAATCCTTCCTGGATTTATTCTGTGAAGAACCCAGAGAGGGTTATTTGGTTATTATTTATTTCATAAATACTGTTATTATTTATTTCCTGACTTTTGTTCTGTGAAGAACCCAGAGAGAGTTATTTGATTGTGCTTTCTGGAAAACAATACATTTTTACATTTAGGCACTCCTGCAATCGTCACACTTTTTCTGTTACAAACTGACTCCGGCCCCCCACCAGAGAAGGGAAAAGTTATGTGGCCCTCACAGGAAAACGTTTGGAGATCCCTGGTGTAAATATTGCAATAACCTGTCGACTACACCACTATGATTGCTTCTCTGCTTCAGTTAAAAACCTCATCACTCTCACTGACACATGACCAAACAAATAACACATGGTCAACTCTCCCCTCTCAAAATGCATGTACAAATGGCAACAAGATGGAAATAACAATCAGATATTAATATCGGCCCAGTTTTACTCACAGGACGGATTCTGAAATGTTGAAAACGGCTAACATCGGCCAATACCGACGTTGATGCTAATATTTTGCGTATACTTAAATATGGCTTCCAAAAGATGAACTCTACAAATACAATGAAATTAGGTTTTAGCTCTTGGTTGATTAAATCAATTATTGTTTAAATTTATCTGATGTCCAAACTGTTTTATGGACCTTAAAAACAGACAGTTATCAAAAAAGCACAAAGTCAGAATTCCATGACACATTTTAATGTTTGACATGTAAAAAATAAGAGTGAGAATCAAAGGAAAAGCTGAAACTTCAGTCCAAAATCATGAGAGTTGGTCAACCTTGGTCAACTTGATAAGTTAATCAATTAGTTGTTAGCAGCTTGTTTTGCACACTGACAAGGAAAGGATGAGTCAGTTTGAGAATTTTCTTAGGTAGATCAGAAAATGCTTTATTAGAGTTTCATTTTGTGAAACAATAAATGTACAGAGGGTGTAGAAAGAATCCTGAAAGTAAAGCCAGTAGAAAATAAACCCACTGTAGTTGGAATGATGATGCAGCTCTGTCGTGTCTTAGTAAGGATACAGACAAGCTTGTGCTTTTTGCGAACACATCAGGTTTGGTAACATCGTTTTCTAAATCTTCTAAGAGAACTGCTGTCCTACCAGAACTTCTTGTCATTGACTTTCTGTAAAAGAATAAACAATCTGGATCTTTCGGAGTCTTCAACTCTGTTTTTGTACACCGAGAAACAGTGACAGTGTGTTTTAAGAAGGAATACATAATAGTCATTCTCAGGAGAGCAGGTAAGCCCACCAGGACGCAGTCTGTTCATATCGCCGAAGGACAAAAAAACATTTATTTTTTTCTTTTACATAATGCCTTCATGCATGCTGACACTCTACATTTTTCAAAACTGAACCTCAGACATTTTGAAAACTAAACGAGCCCTTGATGAGCACGAGCCACATTGAGATTCAAACGGTGCTGTGGCCACGCCCTGCAGGACACAAAGACATGCAGGCTAGAAGATGATTGGTGTTGTGAAGAAGCAATTCTCCAGTAAGAGACCAAACCTTGCATCTAATAATATTAACTCTGATGATGACACCACTTTATGCTGACAGAATTGACCTTGGCTACTTTGACCTCACTGCATCACAGTGAGGTCAGAGTCATCTTCTGTAATGTCTACAACAAACTTTTAAGAAAGACAGTCTTATTGCTGCTTTCCTAAAAAAAAAAAGACAAAAGACTTTGATATCACATTTAATATCACAGTGAGAAGAGCTAAACACTTTTCACGCATCCTGATCTTTAGTGAAGTTTCCAGGTTTCCAGGCTCCTTATATTCCTAAATGTTTAAAACTGCAGTTTAATGTATTTTTGGAGGGGAAGTAATGGATTTAATACTGATTTTTGGTAGTTGCCACATTTGTATACAGCCCCTCTCATTTGGGTAAATGAAGATACAGCAGTTGTTAAAGACATTTACTAATATACTCATTAAATAGCTAGCATGACTACAAC